ATTGAGGCAAAAATTATTATGTTGCCTAATGTGGTTCTTGATGGAGAGGAACTATTTACGATATTACAGTTGCTCGATCAATTAGGGAGAATAAAATGGTGCATAAAATGTTGAAAACAGTAGCTTTTGATAAGATATGTATGTGTAGTGTAATACCCAGAGCAACCACTTGAAAACCATACAAAGAGAGATACTGAAAAACTGTAGAACAATCGAAATGGGGCTCACAAAATGCTCAAATGACTTACAGGAGGAGAGAGAAATTGAAATGGAGAAATGAAAAAGAAAACAAGCAGAAAGCAAAGAAGTAGCACTGCACACGCAGCATTTAAATAATTCTGTTAAATGTAAATGGTCTAAATACATGGACTTCAAGGCAGAATTTGGCAGAGCAGATAAAAAAAATGCATAAGCAGCGGCCGACTGTGAGGGTCTCTGGGAGGCGCATGGCAGTGTCCTCGCCTCACCCCTACCTTGGTGCCACGCCTGGAAAATCCAAGGCCGTCCAGGAGTCCCTGCTCACCCGCAGGCAAGGGGGCGCCATGTCTCTCACGACGAAGAATAGGGATCGTGAAGCTTAGAGTTGGGGCAGCTGCTGCCTTTGTATTTCGGTCATCACAGCCGAGGAGAAGGTGGAGAAACCGAAGCAGTACCCGCCCCTCGATCCGGCCGTGAAGGAGGTGACACGAATGAGATTCACTAACTTAAACGGTTAACAATTTTCAGAATTTACAAAAAAGCATTAGCAGCTGTAAACTGTCTACGATCAGACCACTTCAAATAAAGTGATGTAAGTGGGTTTGAAGTAAACACGGGAAAATAGATACCATGCGAGCATTCATCAGAGAAAAGAGGAGTGGCTGTTTTACTGTTAGATGGACTTCAGCAAAGAAAATTGCAAAATTTGTGAAATAAACCCTGATGCAGCAGAAGGGACAACGGACAGTCGCACGTCAGTGGTATCCCTTTCTCAACAGCTGACAGGAACGGAACAGGATACAGACGAACTCACGGGACCCGGCTGGCAGTCATGAAACTCCCAAGTGCACCTTAGAATCCAAGTGTCCACAGAACCTAGATCAGGATAGACCGCATCCTGGGGCATGAGACAAACCTTCGTGATTCCAGATGACTGAGATTATACTGAGCATCGAAGGAGTCAAACTGGAAATCAGTAACAAAAAGATAGTAGGAAGATCCCCAGCCCCTGGAAATGAACCACAGAACTTTTAAGTAATCCATGGTTCAAAGAGAAAATTTCAGAGGAACTTCAATGGAATGAAAATGGAGACCTGGGGCTAACAGAGAACAGTGCTGGGAGGTAAGTCTACAGCACTAAAAGCCGTATTAGTAAAAGGGAGGGTGGGTGTTTGGCGTAGCAGTCGAGTTGCTGCTTAAGGTGCCCACGTCCCATATCAGAGTGCCTGGCTTGAGTACTGGCTCCTCCACTTCCGAGCCAGCGCCTCGCTGAGCTCGTCTAGGGAGGCAGTGGGTGAAGGCCCAAGTGTTTGGGTCCCTGCCACCCACGTGAGAGACCCAGATGGACTTCCTGGCTCCTGGCTTCAGCTGGGCCAAGCTCTGGCTGTGGCAGGAACTGGGGGCCTGAACCAGCAGGTGGAAGCTCTCCTTCTATGTCTCTACCTCTCAAATAAAATGAAAATAAATAAGGGGAGAAAGAGAAAAGATGTAAAGTCTCAAAGCAATGAACTTCGACCCAGAGAAGCTAGAAGATGAGCAAATA